ACTTCTGAAGTTGGATGATGTCTGGGTCAGTTGAAAATGACTTTTCACATTTTAAAAGAACTTGGCGAAGTTTGTCTCTTTCTTCATCAGATGTCAGAGTGTCGGCTTGAGCGACCACCTGTTCAATCTGTGATGAGACTGTTAAGGGTTCTTGCTCCTTGGGGAGCTCCAACGAATCCCTTTCTGAGTCGTCGGACCTGTCTATGGGTAAGACACCATAAGTTTGAGGTCCTTGGTCGACGTCATTGGTTGAGAAAAGAGCTGTGGCCTGTGTTGGTTTTGTGAAACATACTGGCCCAGCTTCTTGACTCGGTACCAGGTTATCTGGGAGTCCTCCCAGAAATGGAATGCCTAGTTCAAGATCATGAAAATCAGGTTCTGAGTGTTCAGCTTGCGATGACTCATCATCGTTTGTGTGTGAGTTTACCCCCCCTTCGTCCTATGAGGGGTTGGTGGAGGCAACAACAGCAATGTCTTGGTGTGGTCCACCGACATCTGTAATGTTGTCATTCGCGCCTTCAGATTTAGTAGCGATCACATCACTACACAGTGTTCCAGGTTGGTTTCCCATTTCAGCGTGTATCAAAGTTTCTAAAAACCTGCGTATTTTCTCTGTCTCTTCCGAGCTCAGAGGTGTAGGGCCTTGTTTCTGGAACTTTTGTGATTTTATCGCCTCGGTTCGTTTCGTCCGAGGTGGGGGAGGGTTAGGTACGTCTTTTGGGGGTTCCCTTTCGGACTTCCCCTGATAATATGGGTCCTCTTGAATCCCATATCTTTGCGTCCTACGCACATCCCATTTACGATAATCACGTTCATCCTCTGAAAGAGGAGCTTTTTTGTCCCAATGTGCACCTTCATTACGCGGTTTGTTAGTTTGAAAATACTGCTTTTTCTCGCCTGTTTTAGGAGGAGGGGTCAATGCACACCGTCCTTCCAGTTCTAGATAGAGGGGTTTAACCTTTACACCAGGAAACACTTCTATGGGCGTCTTAGCATGAGAACATGCCTCAAACACATTCACAGCACACTGTTTAATCTCATTGATGGATTTTTCTCTGAAATTTGCCATCATTTGTACTGATCTTTTAAAATCAGTGTGGAGATTTTTGCTAAAAACAAATTTAAAACCTTCTTCCTCCATTCCGGTTTCATTTCTGTAACCAAAATAAGCTTGGAAGATTCTTTTGTAATAGACTTTTGGATGTTCATGCTTGCCCTGCGTGACCTTGTCAGCAGCTGGGAAACCAGCAGGTCCCGTGCAGGGGTCGTACTCTCTGATCAAAGCTTCACACAGAAGGTTGTAATCCTTTCTCGTTGCATCAGGTAGACGCTCGATGAAGGTGAACACCTCTCTGTCCGAAGTGAGCCTTATCAGACTGATCTTATCCTCAACCGTAGCATTAGGATAACCTTTCAGTCTTTTGTTTGCTTTTGTTCCAGTTGAACCCATCGGTCCAGGTACAAAGCGTTGTACATATTTTGAGAGTTTTAGCAGAACATCTATTGAAAGAGGAAGTTTCCATGCACTCTGTTGCATGTTTGGTAGAGGAGACCTGTTCAGGTCTGTCCCTATCACCCGAGATGAGGGTGGAGGTGTTTCTCCACACATATGTGGAAGTGGCAGAATGGGATTAAGAGCAAGAGGTGCACCAAAATCTTTCTGAGGTGTTGGCAGATGACCTGGACTCTGTCCACGGTCTTCTCTGAGTTCCAGACAAACTCGCCCCACGTCAGAACTTTTATTTGTTGCCGCGGCCAGTTTCTCCTCACAAGCTTTCAGGCGTTCCTGTGATGTTCGACATTCACCTTGTAAACGCACACATTGTTGGAGAAATGCCTTTTTTACCATTCTGCATTCGTCAAGTTGTGCTTTAAGCACATCTAACTCAGCTTTGCAGCGGGAAACTTGTGACACTGTCACAACGTGATCCCGTCTTAATGCAAAGTATTCTCTGGACAACAGCTCTTTAGCATCCCTGGCTTCAGATAGTGATGCATTAAGTAACTGTATTTTGCTGTTCAGTGAATCAACTTCTGCACGTGCATCTTGTTGTGATTGAAACATCTGTTCAGAATGTTTTTTTGTGAGGACTTCGTGTTCACTTTTAAATTGAAGGAAGTGTTCTTCAATTTCCTGAACCACCTCTTTTTCACTGTTTAACCTTATTGCAAGGTCATCAGCTTTCTCAACCACCGTATAGAATGATTCTTTCAGCAAAATTGCAATTTTAGCCAGCTGATTATAACTTGACTTTGTAATTTCTGTAGAGGTCACACTCTCTGCAACCTCCATCAGATCGTCCAATAACTCTTTTGGATTCATGCTGTCCACCTGTTTATCATATGGATGTAAGGATTCTGTCAGCAGTGCTAACGCTTTCTCTAAACAGTCCTTCATCTCATAAGGATCAAAATCTTTTTCTATCACACCTGTCATGGTTATCCACTGTGTAGCACTTTATCTGGTTAAAACAGTTGCCAGCTTCAGATATTTTACAGGTAAATATTTGTATTCAAGTGTCATTGAGTTTCACACTACTTTTCAGCTCTGGGTTTACACAAAAGTACTGTTATAAGTCAACTTATTCAGAGGAATGGGCACCTGTCATAGGTTTTACCCCAATTCATGAATATTTAAGTAAATGCTTCTCTGCAGTGTTACTTTTTAATGTGCTTAATTTTTAACAGATACTAGATTACCAAGCTTCTCAGTGTTTTTTACTCTAAAGCACTGAACTTAATAAACCTGCAATTTTCTAAAAAGTCTCACAGCAACATCAGTTTAAAAACGCTTTTTTTTTTTAAACCGTTCACTTCCAGAAATTCGCTATTTTAACAGTTACTCATTAACTCAGGTTGGGTGAAACAGGAAAACTGTTATGCTCCACTTCTCCTGCCATTATCTTCTATTTAAAAATTAAATAGGAAGATGTAGTGTTTCAGGTGGTAAAAACAAATCATAAAAGTTTCCTTTTCCTGATATATTTACTCTTATTTAGTGATCTAGCAATTAAACGTGTATTATCTTTCCAGCAAATGAGTAAACTTATCAACTCTGTGAATATCTGAACTGTATCTTTTTTAAAAAGTTTCTAATTTTTCATTTTGCACCTCCGTTTGAGGAATTCAGTGAATGAAAAATGTCCTGGTAAATGCCTTTCTTGCATAAATACCTTAATCACTTTTTAAATGCAAGAAGAAAAACAAGAATCAAGCTTATCTAAATCTGACTCCCGATGACCTCGGAGACGGGCCGACTATCAAATTTCTCCTGGGTCATTAGTAACCAAGGACAAAAGCTTTATCTATTACACCTGCACCCCCCCACCCCCACCTCACCCCCCGAGAACTTTCTGTGCAAGCTTATCAGAACTGCTGGCTGAAACAACATCTTTAGAAACTGTGGCTGATCTGAAAAAACGCTCATGGACAAATCTCAACACCTTGATGTCAAATGCAAATGTAATCATGTTTTAATTGTGCTTGCTGGTAGTGATTTTTTGATGTCTCAAATCGTGTCCTGATAGACAAGATGTGAAAGATCTTTTTTTTGTATTACCACTATCTATCCTCATGTTTCTCCCCCTTTTCTATTCTAAGATTATTATCTGATAAAGATAAGAAGGCCACGCTTTCTATAGTTGCAGCTTGGTGCACTCCACCCATCTTTCGGATGACTGTATGTACATATTTGCGTTGTATCTCGATGCAAGGCCAATAAAGTTTATTCTGATTCTGATAGTGTCAGTAGGGATACATAGCAATGCTATGCTGCATTCACATCTTCTAGTATATGTAAAGTGACTACCTCTGTCATTTGTGGAAACTGTACTGTCTAGTTTTACAAAGCTTAAAAGTATAGTTTCCTCAGATGACCAGGGGGACTGGTGAGGAGGCCAAATAACAAACTATGATGGCCATGGCCACCATTGGTCACCCCTTGGCTCTGCCATTATGTCTGGTGGTGAATTAACTTGCTTTCTCAGGATATTAGGATTTTTCACTCTGCACTGCCTCAGAAAAGCAAGAAAAACAACAACAACAAAAATCTACATATCTTATACACAGTGTAATTCTACTCACTTGAACATCTTGCATTAAAAACATCAAGGTTTACTTGCATTTCCTGTTCAATTCCAGTTAAGAAAAACACTTGTCTGGATAACTCCAAACATTCCCTATTCAAAACCTTCAGTGACATACCTGTCACAGTTTACACTCTGTTTTTCCTTTTATTTATCACTCTGTTC